CATACTCTATGGAGCCCTAATGGTAATTCTGAGCATTGTTTCCCATATCCCGGTGACCGAAGTCCACAGCCCGGGTTTTTCTCAGGTTCTTCTGCGGGAGTCGTGTAAATAGGGCTGCTGGGTAAACTGTTGTTACCAACACAAACCCCTAGCATGGGGCGTGGGTTGGGAGACATTTCTTTGTCCTTGTAACTGGAGCAGAGAGGACAGAGCCATGTGGCTGTACTTTGGGAGGATCATCTGGTTGAACACCCCCACGCACCCGCCAGCTGTGACACGGCCGTCCTGTGTGTGGGGTAGCGGCTCCTGTGCGTCTCCGTTGAGCCACGGGAGAGGAGGGTTCCTTCTCCCTGACCTTTGGGAGACCAGGCTGTGGGTTTGCCAGGATGCGCATAAGTTAGAAAAAATTATGACTTAAGAATTCAGTACGGCGGGTGAGGGTGCTTGCTTTGAGTGCTGCCGACCCAGATTCCCAAATGATCCTCGGAGTCCACCAGGAGATCTGATCCCTCACTGCAAAGCCAGGAATAATCCTGAGCACTGCTGGGTGTGACCCGCCCCCCCCCCCCCCCCAAGCAAGCAAACAAAGAATTCAAATTAACCTGGTCTGCACCTTTAACTTTTACAAACAGGGAAACCGATTTAGTGTTGACCTTATTTTATATTTAAGGTATTAGGTATATTTTCATTTATGAGCAGCATTATTAAAAGTTTTTATAAAATGACGTAGTTCCTTTTATTCTGTAAAATTCATGTATAGCTTTTATTTTTGTTTTTGTTCTTTGAGCCACACCCAACAGTGCTCAGGGCTTACTCCTGTCTCTGTAGTCAGGGATCACTCCTGGCAGTACTCAGGGGAGCATATGGGGTCCTGGGGATGGAACCCTCAATTTAGCATTTATATGCTGTTGATTTTTTTTTTTGGAAGGGGGGGGTCACACCTGGCAATGCACAGGGGTTACTCCTGGCTCATGCACTCAGAAATTACTCCTGGCAGTGCTCAGGGAACCATATGGGATGCTGGGAATTGAACCCGGGTCGGTCGCGTGCAAGGCAAACGCCCTACTATTTATTTATTTACTATTGCTCCAGCCCACTGTTGATTTATTTTATAGGAAACTACAGCCTCAGCAAATTCAAGTGAACTTTTTGAAATTAGTTTATTAAAAAGTTGTTTTTTGTTTGGGGGCCAATACCTAGCGATGCTCAGGGCTCACTCTGGATCTGCACTCAGGGAGCATTTCTGGTGGGCTTGGGGGGTGCTGGGCCATGTGAATGGTCAGTGCCATACCCTCTTCTATTGTTGCAGCCCTAAACAGTTAACAGCTAAAATCAGAGTGGACTCAAAGCTGCTGGACTATTTGGAAGTATATCCCACGCTCCGTGTGGGAGATGGACAGACATGTATTTAATTAATAACTCAGTACGACTGTTCCTAGAACTCTGGTTTTGATCTGCCCTCATAACTGAAAGCATTCCCATTTGGGCATCCCCTGCCAAAGATCATGTATTTGTTCTTTTGACCAAAGGTTTTGCCTGAAGCTTAAAGTGTAGGGAAGAATAAAACCATGTTAGATATGCCTGAACACCCCAAACGAATACATTAAGGCCGTCCTGAGCCGTAGGGATTTCACATAAACATCTGTAAGATTCGGCACAGGTTTTTCGTGGGGACAGTGCATAGAGCCTAGAAGGGTGGGGTGAAGGAATGTGTTTCAGAGCCCATTTCTCCTCCGACCCTCCTCCTCGCCCTGCTGCCCTTCCTTCTGCCCTCCCCACGTTTCTTTCTTTTCGCTGTTTCTCCCTTTTCCATTGCTGTTGGAAAGAGCCAACCATACACTTGGTTAGACTGTGCATGGGGTGGTTTGGGTTGTGGTTCTTGCCGCGGTCTGCACTCTTGCTGAGACTGTGTGTTTTGTGCTGGTGCAGGGTCCCCGATAGCAGCTGTCTAAGGGCTCAAACTCTGCTGGTAGGCCGACAGGTCAGTGCTCTCCCAGGGAACCATCCTGGGGCCCACGCCCTTTTCTTTTCAGTTTTGTAAAATTACAAATGACTTCCGACTTCTTCCTAGCTGTTTCTAACGCACTTGACTCCCAAGAGGCAGTGCCTTCAGCAAGTCCTCCATGGCGCTGAGTGAAATGCACAGTGGCCGCCTTCCCTCCCCAGCCCCTGCACTGTCTCCCTTTCCTCTGGTTAGGCCAGTTAGTCTTTTGTCTCCAGGTAGATTTAACAATGAAAAATCCATTTTTTGTCATATGTTTTTATTGTGTTGCTTATTGGGGGGGGTTCTGGAGTAATAGTACAGTGGGCAGGGCACTTGCGTTGAATGACTCACCCTGGGTTCAATCCTCAGCACCCAGTATGGGCCCCTGAGCACCACCAGGAGTAATTCCTCAGTGCAGAGCCATAAGTAAGCTCTGAGCACTGTCAAGTATGGCCCCCAAATAAAAAAAAAACCCTAAATAACAACAACAGCAAAAATGACGAGTTTGCATATTACAGTTTTGTTGGGCAGGTGTTTGGGCCACACCTTACTCCTGGCTCTGCACTTAGGAATTACTTTTGGTGGTGCTCAGGGGACAATAAGGGTGCTGGAGATTGGGTGGGCTGCATGCAAGGCAAGCTTCCTACCTGCTGTACTATCTCTTCAGCCCCCGTATTATAGTCCTGATTCACTCTCTGGCTTCTCTCAGTCACTTTTTTATTTCCGAGACTCTCTGTCATTAATATGCATCCAGGACTTTGGGTCATTAAAAAATGGGTCAAAGTTTTGAGACATGGTCCATATAGTTACATAAGCCATATGACTTTTAGCCTAAGTACAGGTTGAAGTCACACATGTACTCCGTGATCTCTCATGTAAGGCTTCCAGATTATCACAGTTTTGGGTGTGTTTTGTTTGTTTAGGAAGGGAAGAGGGTTTGTTTAAGGGTACATACTTGGCAGTGCTTGGGGTTACTCAGGACCAAGTGCTCAGAGTACCAGTGTACAGTGCATTTACTCTGACTTGAGCTGTCTCCCTTCCCCTGTCTCAGTTTTAAATTTTTAATTTATTTTATTTGTTTGCTGGGTTATTTTTTGCAACATCCAGCAATGTTGGGGGTTTACTCCTGGTTCTGTTCTTGGGATCACTCCTAGTAGTTCACAGCTCAAATGGAATGACGGGGATCGAACCCAGATCAGCTGCATGCAAAGCGAGTGCTTTACTCTCTGTACTATCTCTCCGACCCCCAGTGGAATTTTTAAAAGGCAAAATCTGAATTAATTTCATACATATAACCACTGTCGCTTCCACCTTCCAAATCTGTAAGCTACTTAAATGTATTTTCCAAAGATTGGCCTGTAGCACATTTTAATTAACCTGATTCTTAATTATTGTGGCAGAAATGTTCCAAATAATTATATCAAGGGCTTTAAAGTTTGATAGTATATATCAGTGTGTTCATTCTACAGTCTCTTAATTAGAAGTTTCACTTGCCTATAGACTAATTTTTTTTTTCAGGTTTGGGGCATTTGGTCATTTGCATGATAGTTTTTTTTTAAATGAAATTAAAATTCCATTCATGTTCTGCTCTACAGTGTCTAGGCCTGTATGTAGGCTTTCTGGAAATCCGTGGAGATGCCTGAGAACAGTGGTTAACCAGTGGAACATTCTGTGTTCACACTCTAGCATACCTCTGTCTATTGGCAAAGATGGTATTTTGGGCTGCAAATATCATGCTAATGAATGGGCTGCTGACCTCTGGCTGTGAGTCAAAAAACCTTTGTTCCATACTGCTAGTTAATGGAGTCAGCTATAACCTCTTACCTTGGTTGGATGAAAATGTTTAATTTTAATAACTGGAGTGGTGCAAATGGAGCACAGACTTTGCATGAAGGAGCCCTGGGTCTGATTCCCAGCACTGCCCATTCCCAGAGCAAGGCTGGCTGTCCACCGCCCAAAACCCGTTTCCATACTGTCTAGTTGCCCTTATAACGTGGACAGAGAGCAAGGACAGTCACCCTGTCCACTGAGCTGCACAGTCAGAATTGGAATCCATTTTGCAACATTCCAAAAAGCACCACATACACAGTAATTATTTCTCTTCCTTCCCTGCTTCTTTTCCCTGGCCCCTTGGAGACCACAGATCTATATTCTACTTCTATGGATTTGCCTGTTCTGAATAGGTCATGTAGAGGAATTGATTAGATAATATAAGGCATTTTCTATCTGACTTCTTTGATTTAGCATAATGTTTTCAGGATTCGTCATGTTGTTATTTATATTACTCTGTCATTGTGTTTTATTGCCAAAGTTTCATTTTTAAATTTATTTTGGTATTTTTCTTCCTTTCCCTTTCATTGTAAAAGAAGGCCTCTATCATAATTCCTGTGATTTCAGAGAGTAAACCAATTTATCCTTCTTAGCCACGGAACAGTCATGTGTGTGATCTAGAGCATTTGACAGTTACTATTTTTAGAAATGTGGGACCAGAGTAATAGTAGGGTGCTTGTCTTGCATGGGGCCAACCCTGGTTTGATCCCTGGCACCCCATATAGTCCCTTGAGTCCATCAGGAGTGATTCCTGAGCACAGAGCTAGGAGTCAGCCCTGAGCACAGCAGGGTGTGCCCCATCCCCCCAAAAGAAAAAAAGATTTTTAATATGTTGTCAGAAATTGCTCTGCTAGCCACTGCCAGTGGCAAGCCCAGTTGAACCAGGCATATCATTGTGACTGTATGTTAGTTCATTTCAGTAGAATTTATATCAGAAGCATTTTTATATTATCTGAAAAAATTTAGGTAATTTCTCTATGCTTTCCTCCATGATTTTTCATTAGGAAGAACCAACATATAATCAGAAATTATTCCCTGTCTACCTTCCACATCTGAATTTTCAAACATCAAAATGCATGAACGATGATGTTCTGTTGATAGCTACAGTAGTGATAAAAAGTCCTCAAGATTTATATACTCTGTTAATCGTCTTTTCTTTTTTCTTTTTTTTAATACACATCTTCAGGAACCTTCGAAAAGTGATGCGTGCCAAAGGTTAGTATCCCCTTAAGAGACTTGTACTCAGTGTAATCTTTTCCTTTATTTGCAAGGTTTCTTTTCTAAAGTACCTCCGTAAAGTAACTGCAGAGTACAGTACAGGGCTGCAGATGTGGGGCAGTGGTAGAGCACCACTTGCCTTGCAAGCTTGATTTCCCCCAGCAGGACAAAAAGAGGACGACATTCTGACAATTAATTCTGGCCAAAATTATTGGTCAGTTTAGTAGTTGATTAGCATTTGGATATTTGAATTTGAATTTTAGTCATTTTGAGTAATCTCAAATTCATGCCTTGAGTAGTTTTTAAGTCTTTTTTGAGATATAAATTGGCATCACCCTTAGAGGTGACGTGGACACGTGACTGCTCTTAAGCCCCTGCCTGGTCTGCGGCTCAGCCCACCTTGCTTCTTCCACTTAAAAACACTCATTTAGTCTTCACAACTGCTGTGTAGTGTAGGTGCTACTTTTACAGTTTGCAGAAGAAAAAAATATGTACTAGAGTCATTAGGGATTTGGGTTTTCTCAAAGGTTTACTTATGATACATTTCTTACAGTAATGTAGTAATACATATACAGGTATTCTGAAAGCTAATCATATCCATCCTAAAATTGTCTCTACTTGACAGATTGTAGTCTTTGGTGTGTAAAAACAATAGGGGAGGGGGCTGAAGTGATAGAAGTGATAGCCCAGCCAGTAGGGTGTTTGCCTTGCACTGTGGCCAACCCAGGTTTCATTTCCTGCAACCCAATAATGGTCCCCTGAGCACTGCAGGGAGTAATTCCAAAGTACACAGCCAGGGGTTACCCCTGAGCATCACCAGGTGTGGACACAAAACAAAACAAAACAAAACAGAAAAGGGATTGCATAGAATATCCTTTTTTTTTTTATTTAATCTTTGTTTTGTTTATTTGGCATTTTGGGTCACACCCAACGATGCTCAGGGATTACTCCTGGTTCTGCACTCAGGAGATACTCCTGGTGGTGTTTGGGGGACCATATGGGATGCTGGGGATCGTACCAAAGTCAGCCATGTGCAAGAATATCTTTATCTTATATCTGACTTAAAGCATTTAATGCATAAAGGCAGAAAATGTGTCATTTTTTTCTCATAAAATTGTTACATCTTTTTAGTTTGAAGTGATGAACAGAGTATTGAGAATGCATACTTCCAAGAAACTATTAGTAAATTCAGTTCCTTTAATGTTAAGCACTTAAGACTTTCAAAGATTTTGAAAACATAAGCTACAAACTGTCATAGACATGAGTATGATGAAGCTGATGAGGAATCACTACAGAGAGTATAAAGAAGGCTTACAAACTGATTTGTAAACTTGCTGCAGATTTAGGTACGCCTAGAACAGATTACGAATCCCAAGACAGGGCAGAAAGTACAGTGGGGGGTCGGGGAGGTGGGCTCTTGCCTTGCACACAGCTGGCCTGGGTTCAGTCCCTGGCACCGATGTGGTCCTCCAGACCCAGTCAGGAGTGATCCCTGGGCGCAGAGCCAGTAGTAAACCCTGAGCATCTCCAGAGGTGCCCCCCAAAACAACAAAAAAAGAATCACAACACAGAGTACATAAAGAATTCCTACAAATTGGCTTTTCAAGTAACTCAGTTGATGCAAAGTAAAATGAAAAGTGTATTCCATACATACTTGATTGTCAGACACTGAAATTATTGGGGCTTTTCAAATAGGTGGTGGGCTTGCCTACACACAGCCGACCTTAGTTTGATTCCCCGTACTCCTGTGTGGTTTCCCTCGCCTTGTGCACAGCCAACTGTGGCCCAAAAGCAAACAAGATAAAAACAAAGAAAAATTTTAAATACCAAAATAGGAGATACTTAGGAAGTAGATCTACATTTTATGGATGTAAAAGGGATATGATGACTTTGTAAAACACTTTGAAATTGTCGACTCAGTACTGGAGATTATACTCAAGAGAAATGGGTGTACACTTGTAACAGGAACCCTGTACAAGGAACTACAGAACTTAAGATACCGAAATATCAGAAACAGCCCAGATACCTAATCACTAATACAGTGATTCAGTTGAGGGGGGAGGGTAAGAGTTCAGTGGAATCTGCCGTAAAGGTAAAGGAATCACAGCTCCATGTGGTGCTCGCATGCTTCTCCCTGCAAGGGAGCACTGTCTCTGGGAGCCGGGAACTGTTGGCCCAGCCTCAGCAGCGCTTCGGGACTCTGAGGCCCTGGGGCCTCCGTCTCTTCAGCGGGAGAATTTCTATTCTGGGTTGAGTTCTCAAGGGTCCCACTTTGAAAGTGTTTGTTTCTTGGGGTGCTCTTGGAGATATCTGAGTAAGTTTCCCTGTTTCATGTTGCGGCTTTACATGCCAGCTTGCCGGTTTTAAGCAAACCTTCCTGGCTGACATTCAAAATTTGTCCTGAGCAGCTTTCTGCTGGTCTTAAATGTATAGAATGCTAGCCATGGTTTTTTTTTTTGTTTGTTTGTTTTGTTTTTGCTTTTTGGGTCACACCCGGCAATGCACAGGGGTTCCTCCTGGCTCTGCGCTCAGGAATTACCCCTGGGGGTGCTCAGGGGACCGTATGGGATGCTGGGAATCGAACCCGGGTTGGCCGTGTGCAAGGCAAACGCCCTACCCGCTGTGCTATTGCTCTAGCCCCAGTGCTAAGCATGTTGAGGCAGAGAAAATCATTTTCAGTCTTGAACCTCAGCTAGCTTTCTTGGCCTCAACATTTTTTTTTTTCTCTTTGGGTCTCACCCAGCGATGCACAGGGTTACTCCTGGCTCATGCACTCAGGAATTACTCCTGGCTGTGCTCAGGGGACCATATGGGATGCTGGGAATCGAACCTGGGTCAGCTGCATGCAAGGCAAACGCCCTACCTGCTGTGCTATTGCTTCAGCCCCAGCCTCAACATTTTTTAATACCAAGACCGCAGCTGTTCCCACTAGAAGGGCTACTCAGTCATTGGGTCATGGGAGAACCAGACCTTAAAGTTAGCAGCCGGAAGGGCGACTGCCTTGCACACAGCTGGTCTGGTTTGATCCCCAGCACCCGGTATAGTCCCTGGAGCCCTACCAGGAATCCCTGGGGCAGAGCCAGGAGAATCCTGAGCACAGCCAGGTGCGGTCCCAAAATATGGAAAGGGAAAAAGAAAAACGAAGATGGGTTGGAAGGATGGGACAGCAGGTAAGGTGTTTGCACGGCACGTGGCTGACCCGGCTTCAATCCCCAGCATCCCGTATGGTCCTCCAAGCACTGCCAGAAGTAATTTCTGAGTGCAGAGCCAGGAGTAACCCCTCAGCATCGCTGGGTGTGACCCAAAAGCAGGGGTGGGTGGGAAGAGTTTCTCCTTTAAAAACAAAAACCACATATAGCCAGATGCCAGTAGTTAAGTTAGATGACACTGCTTCAAAATTCACACACACACACACACACACACACACACACACTATATGTGTGTGTGTGTGTGTGTTTTCCTGTTTAAAACATTAATTCTAGAATATGCGAAAAACATGAGAAAACTTTATCCAAAATACTATACCCAGCACTAACCCATAGCCCATATTACATATACTCATATATAGGCATATATGTGTGTGTATTTTTGCATATGTATATATTAGTGTAATACATTGTTTTTAATCTTGTAGAAATTGTTACTTAATAATACTGCCCATTCCGGATCCTTGCTTTTTTTCCCCCCAACTGCTGTGTGTATTAAAGCAGTTAAAGTTACCAAAGAACACCAACCTTTTTGGCATGTAAAGATATTTAACTGTGAGTGTTGAAAACAAAAGTTTGGTCTGCAAGCCTGACGACTTTATTGCTTTTCCCCCCTCCCGTAGTTGCTGGTCCTACTGGATCTTCCCCATCATAGGCGCTGTTCTCCTAGGCTTCCTGTACCGTTACTTCACGTCAGAGAGCCGATCTTCCTGAGGAGGCCTTGTCGGAGTCTGGAAAGCAAACCCACTTGGGAGTGAGAACCAGAGACTGTTGGGACGCTGAGTACTGCCCTGTTTGCGAATCCTGCCCAATGTATCAGCCCCTTGGAGCCTCGATGGTTGGCCAGGCCCCCCGCCCCCCACACCAACTCTCAGAGCTTTGCTTACCATTCTTGCCCCTGCCTCAGCTTCCTCTGCCTTGGTTTCCGCAGGCTTCTCTACCTTTAGAAACTCACTTTCCTGATTGTCACTCTTAGTCGCATTTCCCCCCCAGTTAAAATGCTTTTCAAAACATTGAACTGCATATTAGACGTGCCCAGAAGGTGAGCACTCTCTGGAAGTACACACGAGAATGTTTCGGCTTCATTTTATGTATCATTAGTGGTTTAGTTTGTGAAATTGCCCGCTAGACTTGAAGCACATCTGCCCAAGCTCCATGTTCCCTGTTTGTATTTGTTGAAACTAGAAAGAATCGTGTCATGCGATTCCAGCTGATCCTCTCCTTCCCCACCCGGCGATGCTGAGGGCTCACAACTGGCAGTGCTCAGGGGACCATTTAGGATGATGGGGATCGAACCTGGGTCTGCTGCGTGCAAGGCAAATGCCCTCCCCTCCTCCCTAGAGGCTAGAGTGGCAGGCCGGGCACGCCACCCATGGAGTCCAGGCTGTGTGATTTCCACCTGGCACTGCGTGTGTTGACTTCCCTTTTGTTTACTGAGAACGGGGAAAAAAGAGAAAGGGAGAGATTGGTGCGATGGGGTGATCCATGGTAAATGTTTCTTCTAAAGAAGATTGAAAACATTAGGACAGGAGTATAGAAATGGCCCATGAACACCGGTTTATCGCCATCTGTTTACTCCCCCCCACCTGTCTCCCTCTCGCGCTCTCTGTGTGTCTCTCTGTCTCTCTCGCATCAGGGCCTTAGACTCCTAGGGCAAGCGCTCCACCGCTGAGCTCTGTTCCTGCCCCCCTCCCCTTCCTGCAACCAACTTTTCTTGGTCAAATACAAATTTGTAATGACGTCTGTAGAATTTTACCAGAAAATTTTGATGCTTTTATGTTTTTTGGTTAGCAAAAACTTGATCCTACCTTTTTATAAAAGTTAGAAGAGGTAGAATATTTGATCCGTTTACCCTGGTCAAATCACTTTTCTAGCGAGGCGGCGTGAGGAGGATGTGGGCAGTTATGGCAGGTTTTTTCTCTGTCATCTCTTTTTTACTTCCTTGGCTCCAATTTGTGGTTTTATTCTGTTTTCCATTGAGAATAAAAAACAAACAAAAAACTGGCAGTTTTTCTCTTGAATGAGTGTTTTCCTTGAGAAGGTGATTATGTGGAAATCCGTTATTATTCCTCGTGGTGGAGGAGTCTCTCTCTGACATCTCCGACTTGCCTTCTCTTTCTGTGGAAGCGCCTGAGGAGTCGCGCGGCTGTTTCCTGCTCACCCCTACTGGTGGTGACGGTCCCGTCCCGGGGACGCTGCTGGTCTCCCGGCCCGGGCAGCTGGCTTCAGGCAGGACCAGGCGCTGCTCTTGCCGCCTCCCGCTTCCAGCTGGCCAGCGCTCGACAAGACAGGAAACTGCCCAGCTAACTATTTAAGAAAAGTGCAGCCCAGACCTGTCTCCTGCGATTTTGCAGTTGGGTGGATTCAGAATTCATCAAACCTCGTACTTCCATTATTGGATTGTGACCTTTCGGAACAATTAGGGGACTTGGGCCTGACTTTTTATATACTAGGGGTATGGGTGTGGTCAAACTTTTATCTTTAGAAAACGTTTTGTATGTCTTCTAAAATGCCACTGTAAGGCGATTTAATTGAAAAAAAAAATCCTTGGCTGTTTACAGCAATGGGAAAACTGATGCGCCTCTGTGTGAAGCAGGGAAGACTCGCCGTGAATAAAGCTGCTATAAAAATTCAGTTGCAAGATGCCAGGGGGCTACAGGGGGTAGGAATAACCAACAAAGGAGCATTGAGGAGCCCGAAAGGGAACATTCAAGCTACCACTAAGCCAGAAGATAACCTGGATCAAGTAAAAGTTCTTTGGCAGTCTCCGTCGGGACTGGAAATTGTCTGGCTTATAAGAAACACTGGAGAATGAGTCGAGTGAACTTAGTGTTTTGGATATCTTTTATTGTAAACACTGATGCAAAAGGTCTTTTCAAAATTTCATACTGGCTGTCTTTTCCTGTTTATATCTCGGCTTGTTCTTACTCAGAATCAGAGAAAAAGGTTCTCAGACTTTGTATCTACCCCGCATGAAACGTGTCCAATTCCCAGGACTTTTGAACGACTGCGAATGTGATGGTACTCTGTGGCATGAAAACCACACTTGGGCCGCGCGCTGTTACTCCACTGCCTACATCAACAGCCGCTGAAAGGTAGAGCTTGTTGGAGAGTCTGCGCGGGTTCTCTGAACAATAAAGGGACACAGTGTGGTAGCCAGACCCGTCAGAAGGGACTTTTGTTTGAGAAAGCCCTTCCCGAAGAGGCAGTCTCGGAGTCTCAAATCAGTCTACACACAGGGAGGTGGTGAAAACCCCTCCAGAAGAGCCAGGCCCTGCGTGCCCGGGGCCCCAGGGACAGACCCAGGGTGTCGGGTTATTTGTCCCTGAGGAGAGAGAGCGGCTGCGGCTTGGAACTGGTGCCACCGAGGATCGCGGATCCTGAAGCCAGGGCCCAGCCGGGTCACCAGAACAGCAGTGTCTGTCCGGCCGCCCTCTGCGGAAATTGGTTTTGGTTTTGGTTTGCAGGGATCGGCCTTGGCTTTTAGCTTGTAAAGGATTTCTACCATCTCTAAAGCAGTGGGGATAAAGTTTATATTCTGTTTAGTTCGTACATAGAAGCAAAAAACACCATTGAAACCAGTCACTTGAGCCCCCTGAAGTTCTTTTAGCTTGTCCCGAGCGCGTCTGTTGTGAAATAAGAGCGTTGTTGAATTTAGATTCATTTAGTTCTGATGTAGAGCAACGAAAAATGCTTTTTCAGGCCAGGCATATCATTACTTAATGGGATCTCATGCTTAAAATCTCAAGTGATATCTTTCTGATTAAATTCCATCTTAGGAGAGTGAAATGCAGAACATTAATGTTCACTACTTCCTTCCCCAGGAGAAATGAATTCAGACATGCTTGTCTCAACAAGAAGTTGATTTAAAAAAAAAAAACTATCTCTTGCCAAATATCACAGAAGTAATGGGGAGTTTAGTCACATTTGGCTGTTGTGCTCTGAAAGGGACCGGTTTGGAATTTGTGGGGGTGATCTTAGAGGGGAGGTTCCAAGGAGCAGAAATAATCAAGTTACGGCCCTCATCCCGAGTCTGCTCCGACTTCGAGGCCTGCCCTCTGCCCACACCTGGGCCCTGCCTTGGCCAAAACATTATTATGGTTATTTCACTTCCTTTCTTTCTACTTCACCCTCCACTGTGGACAAGTAACGCTGACATTCCTTTTGTGTATTCAATAATGGAGTTTGTTTACCTATTTTATTTCAGCATATTTTGAACAAAGATCTTTGTCTCTTTCTGCTGGAATGTGCACACAGTGAATGTTTGTTAAAACTAACACAATAAAGATACTGTTTTCCTTTTCTTGCTCTGACTGCAATTGTCCATTTTTATTTATTTTTTTTCTTTTAAGTTTTTTGTTTTAAAATGGACCTGTTGGCTCTGAAATTCTCATGGATTCTGGATGAAAAAAGGCCTGAACAACCTGTTCTTGGGCTGGTGCTGTTTAGCATGACTCGGGGGCAGTTGTGTATTTTGTCAACATTCTCGCTGCAGCGAGTCGCTCATTTGGTAATCATGAGATGCGGAATCAACGCTTCGCTGTGGTTGGTGAGTGGGATGCGGGGAGTTCTGTTTTCACTGAAAGCAGTGCAGAAGCCAGTGCTAAATGAGCACTTCTGTGCAGTCCTCGTCCATAAATGGTTGTTTTCTTAGAAAGAGCTAAACGGGTAGGGAGACTTCAGTACTGAGATCGAAAGTTACAGTGATTGTTAATAACAAGGGGCGATAAATCACTTTGACAGTTACCTTTACCGTAAACTGACGGCCCACTTCACAGTTCTAAGGAGGCCTTGGTCTTGCATTCTCATTAGCTGAGGATTAGTAGCTAGAAATGAGAACCCCATTCAGCAGAATATGATGTTTAATCTTGAATCGTCATAGTTCATCTACCTGTGGTCTTTTTTTTTTTCTTTTTGGGTCACACCTGGCTCTGTGCTCAGGAATTACCCTGGCGGTACTCAGGGGACCATATGGGATGCTGGGATTCGAACCAGGGTCGGCCGCGTGCAAGACAAACGTCCTACCCGCGATCTTGTTTTTTGAGGGAGGGCACAGCTGGCAGTGCGCAGGGTTTACTCTGACTGCACTCAGGAGTTACTTCTGGATGGCCCGGGGCACCATGCTGGGGACTGAACCCGGGTCAGCACTTTGCAAGGCCTGCATCTTTTCAGAATTTCTATAAATCACGTGGAGATTGAAAATGTGCTTCATGTCATGAGGCATAGGATTTGGAAAGTCCGTTTTTCTGCTCTCCAACTTGGAGCACAGGAAGATGATTCCAGCTCGTTGGAGAGGCACAAAGACAAATGCTGTTTGTTCCAGGAGTGACATGGGACTTTTCATCCCTTGGTGCCAGTCTCAAAGCAGCAGTGGCCTGTTGTTTGCGCCTGCTTCCAATCTCTGGCCAAAACATCGGCGCCAGTGTTGAACCGCATGGGATGCGGTAAGAGAAGACCCCAGGTGCTTGAATTTTACCTACAGAAGCTTTGGGAACCGTTTGCCCTAGTTTCCTCACCTAAGATTTTTTTTTTTTTAATTTTTATTAGTGAAATACCATGAGGTACAGTTGTAGACTTACAGATTTTTGTGCTTGGGTTTCAATTATACAATGATCAAATAGCCATGCCTCCACCAGTTCCCATTTTCCACCACCACTGATCCCAGTATCCCTCCCACCCCCCCATCCCTCCCGTCCCACCCAGCATCTGTGGCAGGGCATTCTCTTTCGTTCTCTCTCTCCTTTTGGTTGTTCTGGTTTGCCTCATGTTCGGTCTCTAGTCTACTTTCAGCATGCATCTCTCATCCTAGGAGGATCCTCCCAACACCTTTACTAATTTTTTTTTTTTTTTTTTTTGCTTTTTGGGTCACACTTGGCAATGCATAGGGGTTACTCCTGGCTCTGAACTCAGGAATTATCCCTGGCGGTGCTCAGGGGACCATATGGGATGCTGGGAATCGAACCTGGGTTGGCCACATGCAAGGCAAACGCCCTACCCGCTGTGCTATCATTCCAGGCCCCCCCCCCTTTTTTTTTTTGCTTCCAACACCTTTATTTGGTGCTCCCTTCTCTATCTGAGCTGCCTTTTCCCCTAGTGTATGTGGCTAGCCTCCAAGCCATGGAGTAAACCTCCTGGTACTTATCTCAGCTATTTTTGGGTGTTAGTCTCCTATTTTGTTACTTTATGTTCCCCAGATGAATGCAATCTTTCTATGTCTGTCCCTCTCTTTCTGACTCATTATCCTCACCTAAGATTTAAAAAAATCGGTGTTGCCTTACTTTCTAGAACAATAGGATGGTGTCTGCAGTAAAAATGGATTTTGCACACACATTTACACAGAGAGGAAACCTAGTGAGGAAGGAAGAAAGGAGTTTGGAGAAGTTCATAGCCCTTGAACACAGGAAAATGAACTTTCCAAAGGATCTGATCCCTTTACCACTTTCGGGCCCTAGGACACTTTATTTTCTTTAGCTCTTATCCTACCCTTTCTTTCTCCCTTTAACCAGTGACGAGACAGTACATCAGTGTTTATGCCTTTGTTTTAAAGTATTCTGTTTAGTGCTCGCTTCAGCAGCACATATACTAGAATTGGAATGATACAGAGAAGATTAGCATGGCCCCTGCGCAAGGATGACACACAAATTTGTGAAGCGTTCCATATTTTTAAAATTTAACGCGTTGACTTGGCAAAAAATAAAGTATTCTGTTTAAATGTACCCAATGAGCTGGCCTAGAAAGTATTTGGAAGGACTAAAGCTGAGTGCTTTTTAATCTGGACTGTCCGTGGTGACTGCGGCCTGTTCAGACATCACTGTTGGCCGTGACAGACAGCTAGATTCTAGCTCCAGATCTTTCATGGAGGAATTCATAGTTTACTTTTTGTCTTAATTGACTTTGGTTGGTTTTGGAGACACATCTACCTACTAATGTATGTTTTCTTTCCTTAAAATACCTGCCTTAGCAATGCCTCTCCCACAGGGCAGAAATTCTTTTTACTCCGTGCCATCTAGGTATTATGGGAAAGAAAAAAATCTTCCTCACTTTCAAAAGCTAAACACTTGAAATGAGTTATTTTTGCCATTGGATAA